GGTCCCCCTCCTCCCCGGGTCCCCCTCCTCCCTGGAACGCTTGTGCTCTGCGGAATTCTTGAGAGTCCCACAGACAACGCTGCCTCCAGCCCCCTCCACCTGGTTTTGCCCTGATGCCCCCCGGGCTTCGTGTTCTTCGTCCTCTTCCTTGAATTCATTTCTTCATAGACTTACCTGTGGAGTGTGTAGGTCGGCACTGTTCCACGTGCTGGGGATCCGTCCTTGATGGTCTGAGGAGAGGAGGGAGACAAGGCCCAGTATTGAGGACATCCCAGGGGTACTTTGGAGAAAGATGAAGGAGGAGGAGTGGAGCTGGGGCCAGGGAGCCTCTTCAGAGGTCATTGAGCACAGGCGTGGTGATGTCCAGGAAAGGAGGTCCCTGCACAAAGACCAGTGGTCCAGGAGCCACTTGTGTTGGGGGAAGAGCCAGAGGCCGGTGTGAGGCAGCGGTGAGGTCTGGACGGGGCAGGCATGTGCTGGGCAGGTTCTGCTGGGAGCTGTTTGGATGGTCCAAGGAGTGGGATGGAAAATCGTCAGCCAGTTTTGAGGAGAGGAGTGAAATGATCTGATGTGCGTTTTAAGAAGGTGCTCAGCCCTGTGCTGGGGGGAGACCTGGAGGCCTGTTTGAGTCTGCTGAGACAAGAACATGTCCATTGCTGGCCTCCGAGTGGGACCCCCCAGGCTGTGGGAGGAACTAGCTGGACTGTGTACGTGTGAGGGCAGAGCCAAAGACACTTCTGATCTGTCACAGTAGGCTATAGCAGAAAAAGAGACATCTCGGATGGTGCCAGGCTTTTTGTCTGGAAACCGAAGGCTGGAGTTGCACTGATGCGGAGGAGACCCTCTGGGAGGGTCTTTGTTGGGTGCACTATTTCAGACTTGTTAAGTTTGGGATGCTCAGGAGATGTTTAAATGTCTGAAGCCATGAGGGAGTGGGCGGAGCAGAAAAGTCATCCGCATTGAGCCCTGAGGGGCTCTAACCCCATGGGCAGTCAGGAGATGAGGTCCCGGCTGTGGCACAGAGAGGGTGTGACCGGGGAAGAAGGGGACCCAGAGCAGCCCTGAAGCCAAGGCAGAGAAGGGGCATCTATCTAAATGATGCGAACAGGTCTTCGGGTGATGGACAGCTGGATTTGTCAAGGGCAGGCCATCAGTGACCTTGATAGCAGTGATTTTGTTGGGGTGTCAGAAGCAGACGCTCAATGGAAATTCATAGAGTTTGGAGGAGAAATTGAAGACATTGAATCTTGACCATTCTCTGGCGGGACCAGGGAAATGGGGCAGTAGCTGGAGGGTTTCTGAAGACAGAACACACACACACATACCCACACACAGAGAAAATGTGTATGCCAGTTCCACCTGATCAAGCTGTTACTGAACACTGAGTACCAAGGAGCGTGTGCATTTGGATAACTCCCTAGATTAGGCTGCATCTCAGACTCGCCCACTTCATTGTTCCCTCGGGCATTGGGCCTACTCACAACGCAATCTTCCCAGAAACCAGGTCTTTTTCTCCAGCCCTGTTTCTTCAACCTCTTTCACACCCGTACTTCTTGAAAGAGTTGACCTCAAAGCCAGTCTCCACTGTGACACCTTCCTCCACCTGTCAGTCTGTCTTCTCGGGCCGAAGTCCCTAGGACCTACAGGCCACCAGCTTCTCGGTCCTCCTGTGACACTCTGTGGTCTCCCAGAAGCACCGTCCACCTGGTTGCTGAGCCAGACCTGAGCATCACTGTTGGCTCCTGTGTGATTTCTACATGACCCACACCCAAAGTTACACCAAGTCTTTCTACTTGCACATTCCCTAGTTCCACTGCCTGATTCATGTCTTCATCTCCCACTAGGATTTCTCTGGGCGTTTTAAAATCGATATCCCAAACCCACTCTTGTTTTCTCACTCCCACCCCACCATCATCTCTTCTCTTCACAGCAGCCAAAATGATCTTTTAAAAATCTCACTGCCACTCAAAAATCACGGAATGTAAACCATCACAGTGACAGGATATAGAAGAAAAGTCACACACTCATATCCACAGATGCAGAAAAAGCATTTGACAAAACTCAACACCTATTCATGATTAAAAAACAAAAACAAAAACCCTCTCAGCCAGCTACGAATAGGGGGTAACTTTTTCAACTTGATAAAGAACATCTACAAAACCCTACAGCTAACATGCTTAATGGTGAAAAACTAGATTTTCGACGAAGACGGGAAACGAGGCAAAGTTGTCCCCTCCCACCACTGCTTTTCAACATCATACTGGAAATCTTAGCTAATGCAATAAGACAAGAAAAGGAAATAAAAGGCATACTGACTGGAAAGGGAGAAATGAAAGTATTTGTTTGCAAATGACATGATTGTTATGAAGAAAATCTTATTGCCCTGCTCAATCCCGCATCAAAAGTCACTGTGTGTAGAATGCAATTCAAAGCCCTTAAAATGTTCCAAGAGATTCTGCCTCTCCAGCCACTTTCCTGCTGCCCTCTCCCTTGCTTACTTAGTTTTGGTTGTTTTGACTATTCAGTTGAAAGAAAAATCGCTGAGTCCTTCTGCTTCTTTGCGTCTGCAAGCCTGCACTTCCTTCTGCCCGGAGCCTTTTCACACTCTGCTCTTTCTTGCCTAAATGCCGTTTCTCAGGGCTCTGGCAGGTGCTACCCATGACTGCAACCTTGGCAGTGGGTCACCTGCTTCCTCTCAGACCCTGCTGGCAGGCCTTGGGCTTTCTTTGAAGCTATGGGAGATGCTCAGCTGGGGGACGTGGGGATGACGGGAATGGGGGAGCAGCCCCCAATCGTGGGGGGATGGAGTTAGCTGGGAAAAGGTGCTGCCTTCCAGAGGGTCTGCAGGGGGGTTGAGCTCCAGGGAACAGTCTCCCAAATAAACTACCTGCACCCAAATCCACATCCCACGCCCTACTTGAGGGAGAACCAGAAGTAAGGTGTAATTACGACTTCCTCAAAGGTTCTTCCCTGATATCACAAACTGTATTAGTTGCCTTTTCTATGTTTTCAATAACACCCGATATCTTTCCTTTAGAGGAGTAATTTTCTTTGTAATTATATGTTACTTGTGTGATTTTTATAATAAATTGGCTCCTCTCCAGACTGAAAGCTTGGTGGGGCCAGTGATGTTCTATTTTGCTCACTCGGTGAGAGTGCCTCCTGGGCACTCAGGACACCTGCGCTATTTTTGTTGCTGTTGCATGAAAGAATAAAAAAGTACATTTCTTAAAAGACGAAGAGATGGGGGCAGACATGGAGAGGAGGAGAGTAAAGGGAGAGTGCGTTGTAAAATGAAAAGAGATTGGTCTAGAATCCATACTTTTGGTTGAGGTTTGGCACACTCAATTCGCCTTTTTTTGACAGTGGAGACAAACTGGAAGATGCCGGAAACACCGCGGAGAAATGGGACGTGGTCAGACGCCTTCGATTCATCTTTGTATCTGCTTCCTCTTTGTATCTGCTTCATCAGGTAGCTCCCTGCTTTGGAAATAAACCGCCATTGATTACTATCTGAGGGACTGATTATATAGAACAATCTTACAAAAGGAGACTTGGAACCTCGAAATTTCTGGAACAGATTGGTTTGACCCATTTTAAATAGTTTGATCACCGAATGCCCTTCTATTTGCACCCTTATCCGTCTTTCTATAAACTTTCATCTTGGTGTTCAAGTTGTTTTCACATCTTTTATCTCATTTTAACCTCACAGCTAAAGTGGAGCTAAGTGACTTGCCCAGGTCAGGTCAGAGACCTTGGAGGGCGGTGTGGCCTGCGTGCGTATGTGAACCTAGTTGGGTCTATGGAAACATGGCTAATGTTGCTGCATTTTCCGGACGGCTGCGGGTGGTTGACCCACCTCCTGCTGGATTAATTCTCCCTCCTTCCTCTGCATGCTGCTGACAGCAAACTCTGGAGGCAGCGGCCGCGTCTGAGGGCGCTCACGGCGTCTCCACCCGGTTTGTTAATGAAGAGACTGCTGGTCGTGGGGTCTGGGGACATCACGGTGGATCCTTGTTTCCTGTGGAGACACCACGGGCACAGTTCATCTCAGGGGAGGACGCCGTGGAAATCGTGGGAGGTTCCGCCCGCAGCACCCACAGCAGCAGCGGCCCCCGCAGCGGAATGCCGGGCAGACGGGGAGCGAGTGCTGTCGTCCGCGTCCTGTCTCCGCTCCGGAGCCCCTCAGGTGTGGAGGAGCCTTCACAGCGCGCACGAACCCCTCGCACGGATGCGCCGGCGCGTCCCTTACCTCGGTCCAGTGTGGGCTGGACCTTCCCCGGTGCCAAGAGGTGTGCGTCGGGTTCTCCTGCTAACTTTCCGGCGCCTGAGCGCGGCTCGCGCGTGCAGCGTGGAGGCCGAGCGCGTCTTACCCTGCGCCCCGCGCCCCGCGCCGGGGTGACCTG